TGCTGGGAACACTTATCAGTAATATATATGCATTATTTTATACGGAGGGACCAATTTACTCATCAATTCATAATGCTTCAACTGGTAGCACTCTCACCTCTGAGATAGAAGATTGTGGATTCAAGCCTCATGTCAGAACTTGGAACGTATAATCTAAGATGATACTTCAGTGCAGTGCTGGCAGGTGTTGAGTTATTGGCACTGCCATCCTTCAGATGAGACATTAAACTGTCTGTCCAGGTGGTTGCTAAAGATTCTATGGCACTATTCAAAAAAAAGAATGGAGTTTCTCGTGAAATCCTAGCCAACAATCCCCTAAAGTAAAATTGGTCATTCAGTTCATGGCTGTTTGTGAAACATTGCTATGTGCAAATTGTCTGTGGCCAGTTGCCAACAAATGCCATTGCTGATGGCCCACAAAACACATAATAGTCACTGCACTTTATCGCATATCCCTTGAAGTGCTTTGGGATGTCGTGAACATTACCAAATGTAATGTTTACACTGAAGTTTTGGAGAAGATTCAAGAATATTCTGGTGATTGAGGCTTTACTGATCTCTGGCTGTGATCTAGTGAGTTATTTTGGCTACTCTTTATTGACCATTATCTGGAAATTCTGCACCTCTGAAATACATTCAACAGAATCAGCTGTCATCGATTTTGGAAGCAGCTTGGAGACAAAAATGCAAGTATTCTAGTCAGTGTTGTGCAAAGTGATATCCACCAGATGATGGAATGCAATATCTATTTAGCAGGTGAAGAGGAAATGTATTTCTTGTTTCTGGACAAGAGTTATTGTGGGCCCGAAGGGTTTTTACACTTAACAGGAAGAGTAATTTCTCACCTGACACCTACCAGTGTAGTTATAATAATAATAATCCTTGCATTTGATATAGCGCTTTTCACGTCGGGAGGATGTCCCAAAGCGCTTCACAGAACACACTGTAAAGTGAATTGACTGTATATTTGTGGGCGAACGCGGCAGCCAATTGCGCACAGCAATGTCCCACAAACAGTCGTAGGTTGAAAATGACCAATTTATTATTAATTTTGGTTTTGGAGGGGTTATTATTAGACGTGTGGAGTAAGGAAACTTGACCAAGGTTTCGCTCTGCCTGGAATTGAACTCAGGTCTCTCGCTTGCAAAGCGAGTGCTCTAACCATGTAGTCGTCACGTAGCAGAATCACATATAAACTCAGTGAACACGACATGATATTTTAGCATGCAAACTGTAGTTTGATCTATGAATCATGGTCTGAATTAGTTTTCCAACCTCAGAGGTCAGAGAAAAAAAGCCCCTTTTTGTGACTCATCATTGCATAGATTACATAGAATATACAGCACAGGTATAGGCCATTCTGCCAAACTGGTCTATGCCGGTGTTTATGCTCCTGTCCTTCCTCAACTAAGCCTATCAGCATAACCTTCTATTCCTTTCTCCCTCATGTACCTATCTAGATTTCTCTTAAATGCATCCATGCTATTCGCCTCAACTACTTGTGGCAGCGAGTTCCACATTCCCACTGCTCTCTGGTAAAGAAGTTCTTCTGACTTCGCTATAATTTTAAAGACCTCTATTAGGTCACTCCTCACCCTTTTCTTTTCAAGAAAAAAGAGTCCACTCTTGTTCGGCCTTTCTTGATCGGTTTAACCTTGCAGTTCGAGTATCATCCTTAATGTTTTTTGCTGTTTGTGGGATATTGCAGTGTGCAAATTGTTATATTTTTAGTCAGAATGTGCCGACAACAACAACAACAAAATTACATTTATCGAGCCCCTTTCATGTCGGGAGGACATCCCAAAGTGCTGAACAGTCAGGTATCGGGGCCCGAGCATGGGGGAGGGGTGGTGCAGGGATGAGGGAAGGCAGAGAGGTGGGAGTGAGACCAAAGGCACAGTCAAAGAGAAGGGTCTTGAGACCGGCCTTAAAGGAGGTAAGGGAGGAAGCGAGGTGAAGGGATTGTGGGATGGAGTTCCAGAGTGTGGGAGTAGAGAGGCTGAAAGCTCGGCCACCAATGGTAGGGCGGGTCGGACGGAAAACATGGAGCAGGACGGGAAACATGGAGCAGGCCAGAGCCCGCTGAGCAGGGAGCGGGCAGGTTGGTAGGGAGTCAGCAGGTTAGAGAGGTAGGAGGGGGCAAGGCCATGGATGGCCTTAAGGGTGAGGACGAGGATCTTGAACTCGATCGTCTGGGGGATGGGGAGCCAGTGGAGTCGGGCAAGGGTGGGAGTGATGGGGTCATGGCGCCTGGTGCGTGAGAGTACACAAGCTGCAGATTTGGATGATCTGCAGCTTGTGAAGGGAAGAGTTGGGAAGGCCGATGAGGAGGGAGCTCCCGTAATCAAGCCTTGAGGTGACGAATGCGTGGGTGAGGGTTTTGGCAGCCTGAGGGGTGAGGCAGTGGCGGAGTCTGGCAATGTTGCGGAGGTGGTGGAAGGCAGTGTCGGTCATGGCGCCGATGTGAGGGAGAAAGGACAGTTCAGGGTCAAACAAGATACCCAGGTTCCTGACTGGCTTAGTGAGGTTGAGTGTGCAGCCGTGGAGGCTGATGCTGCCAGCGCCTGAGGTGCGGAGGCGCTGGCGTGAGCCAATCAGGAGGGTCTCGGTCTTGCTGATATTGAGTTGGAGAAAGTTGGCCCTCGTCCAGGACTTGATGTCGGACAGGCAGTCGGTCAGGACGCCAGTAGTCCTGGAGTTCAGGGTGGAAGCAGGGAGGTAGAGTTCGGTGTTATCCGCATACATGTGGGAATTTACCCCATGTCTGCAGATGTCGTCACCAAGGGGGAGCATGTAGAGGGTGAAGAGGAGGGGCCCGAGGACAGAGCCCTGAGGAACACCGCACGAGACAGTGTGGGAGCTGGAGGAGAAACCGTTTGCCCCGATGAAATGGAGGCAGTATGAACCAGTCAAGGACAGAACCTTGAAGGTTGAGGTGGGAGGAGAGGTGGTGGAGGAGGATTGAGTGGTCCACGGTGTCAAAGGCGGCGGAGAGGTCAAGGAGTCAGAGGGAACCCTGGTCACACATGGTCAGGATATCGTTTGTGGCCCTGAACAGAGCAGTTTCCGTGCTGTGGGCAGCACAGAAACCCGATTGGAGGGGTTCATGGAGGGAGTGAGAGGAGAGGAAAGAGCGAAGCTGGGAGGCAACGGCTCTCTCAAGGACCTTGGATAGGAAAGGGAGGTTTGAGATGGGCCGGAAGCTAGATAGCTGTGACGGGTCAAGGGAAGGTTTCTTCAAGGTGGGGGTGATAGTGGCTGTTTTGAGGGGGTAAGCAACAATGCCAGATGACAGGGAGAGGTTAATGATGTCGGCGAGTAGTGGGCAAAGAGGTGGAGCTGGGATTCAAGGAGAGGGGTAGGGATGGGGTCGCGGGAGCATGTGGTGGATTTCATGGAAGTTACCGTGTTGAAGACAGAGGAGAGGGTGACAGGTTCAAAGGTGTGGAAGGAAGGATGCATAATTGTCGGATGGGTAATTGTGTGGGTTGGGGTAGGGAGGGTGTGGAAGTTGGGAGGGCAGTGGCAGCTGAGCGGATTCCCTTGATTTTTGGACTCGAGGAAGTCCAGCATTTTCTCGCAGTGAGAGTCATAGGAAAGTATCTGCGAGGCATGTTGGGGAGGGCGGAGGAGCCGGTTAGTGGTGGAGAACAGGAGCCTGGGATTGCCTTTTGCCTCCAGGATTAACCTGGAATAGAAGGGTGATTTGGCTGAGGCGAGAGCGGAGCGGTAGTTCTTGATGAGGTCCAGCCAGATGTAGTGGTGGACCGTTAGGCTGGATTTGAGCCAAGTGCGTTCGGCAGCCCACACCTGGGCCTTAAGCAAGCGGAGGTGGCTGGTGAAGCAGAGTGAGGATCGGGAATAGGAGGCAGTTTGGGAGGTGAGGGGGGCAAGGACATTGAGTGTGGTGGAGAGGGTGCTGTGGAGAAGAGTGAGTGCAGAGAGTGGGTTGTTGCATGAGGTGGGCCAGAGGGAGAGGAGATTCGGAGTACTCCAGGGCAGCGGAGAGAGATTGCGAAGAGATCTTCTTCCACGGGCGGTAGAATGGTGGTAGGTTTGGAGGTAGTAGGGAGAGAGATATGGGAGTTGAGGGAGATGAAATGGTGGTCAGAGATGGCCTTGTCAGTGAAGGGGTGAAATTCCACCAGAGGTTGCAGAGAGGTGAAATTAATCTTTTGGTGGAGTGTGCTTATAACGAGGAAATCCCTAAATGTTCATGCCACATGGTAGCTACTGATCATCACAGAAGGTGAGTCCTTGTATTAGATCAACCCTTTGCTTTCTTTATTTTCATTTTAACAGTTGGCTTATTTGATCTCAGAATTCTGCTGTCTTGCAGCATCAATGCAGCATCAAACAGTTTCTTAAATGATAATAATAATAATCCTTGCATTTGCCTTATCAAGTCTTCGAGTAACGGACAGAACCAAAAGGGTTTAGCAGAGAGAAGGCGGAGAAGGATAGTGTGCTCGCATAACACTTGAAGGTTGTGACCTTTATGGTTTTAACACAGACCTTATTTAAAACGTGTGTTTAAAATGCGATATCAGTTGCTGTAGTCATTCACTTCATGTGGGACATCGTTGTATGCAAATTGGCTGCTGCATTCGCCAAATATTCAGTCACTCCACTGTATAGTATACCTTTTGAAGTGCTTTGAGATGTTCAATTGAACAAAATTGCACTGTTGCTGTTGCCTGGGAGCTTTATTAATCCTCGCATTTGATACAGATTTTGGAGAAGGTGGCAACATCACTTGTTTTATTGGCAAAGCTTATTTACTTTATTTTTGGATTTGAATTAAAAAAAGCCATGTTATTTGTTGATAAGGATATGTTAAGATCTGGTGCTTAGTGACTATGGCTTTTTTGCGAATGGTCACAAATTAAAACGTGATCCGCGAACTCACTATTGTGACCTAGTTGTGAATTGTACAGCTCAGAAGAGTTTAGAATTTACACTGAAAATAATTGAGTGTTAAATAGCAACAACAAATTACACTTATATAACGCCTTTCACGTCGTAAAGACGTCCCAAGGCGTTGCACAGTCAGGGGTTTTTGGACCCAAGATGGCAGTTGGTGTCAGGAGGGGCAAAGCAGCAAGGGTGGGAGGCCAAAGACACGGTCGAAGAGGAAAGTCTTTAGACGGGACTTGAAGGAGGCAAGAGAGGGGGTGAGGCGGAGGGATTACAGGTTTGCGTTTCAGAGTGTGGGGGCAGAGATGCTGAATGCCCGATTGCCAATGGTGCGGTGGGAAGTGCTGGAGACCTAAAGCAGGCTGGTGACCAACCTACCAATTAGGGCTTTGGCTTGTAGGCTTAACAGGAGCGGAGTGGGATGATTCTTGTCCCCAGTAAACTGGTCAGCCTTTTCAAGTCCTGCGGATGAGCCAGGTTGACTGTGTTATCAGCAGTGCCCTAGAGTACTGCGGACCCGCCTGGCTCAGGAACCAGACTACCGAGACTGTCAGAGGGCTGGCATGATTCTGACATTCCGTTGCCAGGCATTTCAACTTGGAGCCGGTTCAGCCAGTTCTCCATGGAGGATGATTATTAATATTTTTTGTTTCTGACTTTAGTTATGGATCCTCTGAAGGCAGCCATTACCAACTTTTCCCTCGATCTCTTCAAACACCTGAACAAAGCAGATAAAACTGGGAATATCTTTGTATCCCCGTTCAGTATCTCAACTGCTCTGGCTATGCTGCTTCTCGGTGCCGAAGGCAATACTGCAGCTCAGATGGTTAAGGTGGGTGTGCAATGATTTCTGTTTTGTATATTGTTTTCTTTTGAAAATATTAGAGTTTACATACTTTCTCAGATCTTGGTATAATAGAGTACATGTTGGTTTATAGATCACACAGTGTATCCAGTGGTATAGCTATGTACAGGGAAGTAAATGCAGTAAAGAACTAGAAAATCATGCAATAATGTATTGGGAGCTGTACCACAGGGAACTGTGCAGCAATACACAGAGGTACATGTTAAATTCTTGGGTTTCAGAGGATATCACAGGGTCACAAAGGAGGTTCGAAGAAGACCCTTTGGTCCATTTGAACTCATCCTTCTAGAACATCCACCCTACTGCCTCCCATTACAGCATCAAGCTTTTTAAAATTGATTTCTGAGTCTTGGCCACAACCACTCTGTCTGGTAACTCTCTGGGTAAAGAAATGCTTCCAGATGTCTGTCCTGAATAGATAGCTCTGAGACATTATCGTGATTTCACAATGTACCCAGTTTCCTATCTGCCACGTTTATTGCTGCCTCACACTGTTTTGACATGGTGAACACGCAGCTTCCTTGGCAAATCCGTGGGGTATACATGCCTCCTATTTTTACTTCCTAAATGCAGGATAATGCATTTGTTTGTATTCAACTGAATTTGCCAGTCACCAGCCCACGTGCATGCTCTATCAAGCTCTCATTATTGACATCTTGGTGTCTGATCAATAGTTTCCATCTAAATGTGACTGACTGATCATGCCCACTGTATTGCAAACAAAATCCTTCCTCTCAACAATTAATCACTATAAAAAAGCGGTGCCTTTTTAAACCTGATAAACAGTTAATAATGTTATATTTTTACAGAAGTGTGGGTACATTTTGCTGAACACAAACCGTTATATAATGTAAACCTCACATAAGTCGTATCAGTTGGCACCATGTATTTAATATGACATGCCACGTATGAGTTATGTCAAACTTGCATATATTATAAACTCTTGAACAGAACTTGGGCAGATGTATGACTTAGGCAGTTATACAATTTATACAGATCAGACTTATGCAAGTTTTATTGTATTAAAAAGGGAAAATATTCCAAGTTGAAAGTGGGGAGTACGAAAATTTTTATCAGGCTTACTTGATTAATTGTGTGTTTTTTCATGTCTGTAGGTGCTTCATTTTAATAAAGTGAAGGACATTCATTCAGAATTTCAGGCACTGCAGTCTGACATTGTCAAATTCAGTGCTCCGTGTCACGTGAAACTGGCGAATCGTCTCTACGGGGAGGAAAACATCACCCTGCACTCTGTAAGAAAAATTAATGTGTAAGAAGGATTAATCTGCAGCATTTTAAATGTAAATGCTTCAACTATTTTCAAATGCAAAGATCATTATTATTTCTTACAATGAACTATATACTTATTGATTGTCTAAAACATCGAACACGCATCATTCACTAACACTGGTGAGTGTTCTGCTTCCCTTGATAATCTGAGTTGTTTCAGAGCACAATCTCACTAAATTCTTTTATTTTCCTTCCCTAAACCCTTATCCTTATTATTCATTGTTGCTAAATTTCTCCTGTCACTGTTCTTCCTCTGCATTTCCATGTGCTCTCTCCAAGGGAATTCGCTCCGCGGTCACTTCTCCTCCAACATCCACCAACTCCCCACCCCCTCACTCCCACACTCCGACTGCTACCCATCCTCCCCTACTCACTTTTGTACCCGTTTCCCCATCCTCTGTCACCAAACTCATCCTATCCCTGAAACCAACCACCTGCTCCCTTGACCCCATCCCCACTCCACTCCTTATCTCCCAGCTCCACTTTCTTGCCCCACATATCACCGACATCGTCAACCTGTCCCTCTCCTCTGGCTCTGTCCCCATTCCCTTAAAAACTGCCACCATCACGCCCACCTTGAAAAAACCCTCCCTTGATGCGTCGCAGCTATCAAGCTACCGGCCCATCTCCAACCTCCCCTTTCTCTCCAAGGTCCTGGAAAGAGTTGTCGCCTCCCAACTGCGCTCTTTCCTTTCCACCCATTCACTTTTCGAACCCCTTCAGTCAGGTTTCCGTGCTGCCCATAGCACAGAAACTGCCCTGGTCAAGGTCACCAATGATATCCTGACCATCTGTGACCAGGGCTCCCTCTGCCTCCTCGTCCTCCTCGACCTATCGGCAGCATTCGATACGGTCGACCACGCTATCCTACTCCACCGCTTGTCCTCCCACCTCAACCTTCAAGGCACTGTCCTTGAGTGGTTTAGGTCGTACCTTTCTCACCGTCTTCACTTTGTCTCTACAAATGGCTTCTCCTCCACCCCCCGCAATGTCTCATGCGGTGTCCCTCAGGGCTCTGTCCTCGGTCCCCTCCTCTTCACCCTCTACATGCTCCCCCTCGGTGACATCATCCGCAGACATGGAGTTAACTTCCACATGTATGCGGATGACACCCAACTCTACCTTTCCTCCTCTACTCTCAACTCCACGACCACTGATGTCCTGACAGCCTGTCTGACATCGAGTCCTGGACAAGAGACAACTTTCTTCAGCTTAACGTGCGAAAAACCGAGGCCCTCCTGATTGGCTCACGTCAGCGCCTCCGCACCTCAGGCGCTGACACCATCAGCATCCAAGGCTGCACTCTCCACCTCTCAAAGCCAGTCAGGAACCTCGGCGTTCTGTTCGACCCTGAGCTGTCCTTTCTCCCTCACATCCGCACCACAACTGGCACCGCCTTCCATCACCTCCGGAACATCGCCAGACTACGGCACTACCTCACCCCTCACGCTGCTGAAACCCTGGTCCACGCCTTTGTCACCTCAAGGCTGGACTATGGGAACTCTCTCCTCGCCGGCCTTCCCGCCCTCCCTCCACAAGCTGCAGGTCATTCAGAACTCTGCAGCTCGTGTACTGTCCCGCACCAGGCTTCGCGACCACATCACTCCCACCCTCGCTCACCTCCACTGGCTCCCCATCCCCCAGAGGATCGAATTCAAGATCCTCATCCTCACCTATAAGGCCATCCACGGCCTTGCTCCCTCCTACCTCTCTGACCTACCTACCTGCCCGTACCCTCCGTTCCTCCGGCTCCGGTCTGCTCCACGTCCCCCGCCCCAATCGCCCTACCATCGGTGGTCGGGCCTTCAGTCTCTCAGCCCCCAGGCTCTGGAACTCTATCCCCCAGTGCCTTCGCCGCTTCCTCCCTCTCCTCCTTCAAGGCCGGTCTCAAAACCTTTCTCTTTGACCGAGCCTTCAGCCCCCCTCTCGACTCTCTTCCCCCTCCTCGCTCCCTCCCTTCCCTCCCCTCACCCTGACCATTTCCCCCCTGCTCGGGTCCTGACCCAACTGTGCAGCGCATTGGGACGTCCTCCTGACGTGAAAGGCGCTTTATAAATGGAATCTTGTTGTTGTTGTTGTTGTGCTCTGATCTTTGCAATGCATGACGTTTGCCTCTCTACTGGTTCTACAGAAATACTTGGAGTCCACTTTAAAATTCTATCAGGCAGAATTTGGCGTTGTCGATTTTCCAGATAGAGCAGAAGAAGCCAGATCGCAGATCAATTCCTGGGTGGAGGAGCAGACTGAGGGTAAAATACCTTTAACAGTTAGTGGACACAAGATTGTCTACACTTTATGGCTGTTCTATTCCAAAAACTGATGTGCTAGAGTCTCTCATAACTTGTATTACATTAATTTGCGTCCAAAAATGTTTTCCTTTTTAACAAAGATGTTGTATGTATTGCTTCAAATTAGGTAAAATCCCAAACTTGTTGGCTCAAGGAATGATCGATCAATTCACCAAACTTGTCCTCGTGAATGCCATCTACTTCAAAGGGAGATGGACAAAGAGTTTTGATAAAGAAGACACTGAGGAAAGGCTATTCTTCATCAGCAAGGTGCTGGAAGCCAAGAGGAAACATTTAGGAAACATTTTATTTTCATTTATTACTTTATTATTAATGAGAGATTTTGAAAAAAAACTTTTTTTCAGGATGATTCCAAGACCGTGAATATGATGAGCCTGAAAGGAACATTTAACGTGGCTTATGTCGAGGAGCTTGAAACCCAAATCCTAGAGATCCCTTATGCTGAGAACAAACTGAGTATGTTCATCTTGTTGCCAGATTCCATCAATGATAACTCTACTGGACTAGAAAAGGTACTGATATACAACAACAACAACAACAAGATTCCGGTTTTGAGACCGGCCTTGAAGGAGGAGAGGGAGGAAGCAAGGCGAAGGCACTGGGGGATGGAGTTCCAGAGCCTGGGGGCTGAAGGCCCGACCACCGATGGTAGGGCGATTGGGGCGGGGGACGTGGAGCAGACCGGAGCCGGAGGAACAGAGGGTACGGGCGGGTAGGTAGGGGGATATTAGGTCAGAGAGGTAGGAGGGAGCAAGGCCGTGGATGGCCTTATAGGTGAGGATGAGGATCTTGAAATCAATCCTCTGGGGGATGGGGAGCCAGTGGAGGCGAGCGAGGGTGGGTGTGATATGGTCCCGAAGCCTGGTGCGGGACAGTACATGAGCTGCAGAGCTCTGAATGACCTGCAGTTTGTGGAGGGAGGTGGCGGGAAGGACGGCGAGGAGAGAGTTCCCGTAGTCCAGCCTTGAGGTGACAAAGGCGTGGACCAGGGTTTTAGCAGCGTGAGGGGTGAGGTAGTGCCATAGTCTGGCGATGTTCTGGAGGTGATGGAAGGCGGTGCCAGTTGTGGTGCGGATGTGAGGGAGAAAGGACAGCTCAGGGTCGAACAAAACGCCGAGGTTCCTGACTGGCTTTGAGAGGTGGAGAGTGCAGCCTTGGATGCTGATGGTGTCGGCGCCTGAGGTGCGGAGGCGCTGACGTGAGCCAATCAGGAGGGCCTCGGTTTTTCACACGTTGAGCTGAAGAAAGTTGTCTCTCGTCCAGGACTCGATGTCGGACAGGCTGTCAGGACATCGGTGGTCGTGGAGTTGAGAGTAGAGGAGGAAAGGTAGAGTTGGGTGTCATCCGCATACATGTGGAAGTTAACTCCATGTCTGCGGATGATGTCACCAAGGGGGAGCATATAGAGGGTGAAGAGGAGGGGACCGAGGACAGAGCCCTGAGGGACACCACATGAGACAGTGCGGGGGGTGGAGGAGAAGCCATTTGTAGAGACAAAGTGAAGATGGTGAGAAAGGTACGACCTAAACCACTCAAGGACAGTGCCTTGAAGGTTGAGGTGGGAGGACAAGCGGTGGAGTAGGATAGCGTGGTCGACCGTATCGAATGCTGCCGATAGGTCGAAGAGGACGAGGAGACAGAGGGAGCCCTGGTCACAGATGGTCAGGATATCATTGGTGACCTTGACCAGGGCAGTTTCTGTGCTATGGGCAGCACGGAAACCTGACTGAAGGGGTTCGAAAAGTGAATTGGTGGAAAGGAAAGAGCGCAGTTGGGAGGCGACAACTCTTTCCCGGACCTTGGAGAGAAAGGGGAGGTTGGAGATGGGCCGGTAGCTTGATAGCTGCGACGCATCAAGGGAGGGTTTTTCAGGGTGGGTGTGATGGTGGCAGTTTTTAAGGGAATGGGGACAGAGCCAGAGGAGAGGGACAGGTTGACGATGTCGGTGATATGTGGGGCAAGAAAGTGGAGCTGGGAGATAAGGAGTGGAGTGGGGATGGGGTCAAGGGAGCAGGTGGTTGGTTTCAGGGATAGGATGAGTTTGGTGACAGAGGGTGGGGAAACGGGTACAAATGTGAGTAGGGGAGGATGGGTAGCAGTCGGAGTGTGGGAGTGAGGGGGTAGGGGGTTGGTGGATGTTGGAGGGGAAGTGACCGCGGAGCGAATTCCCTTGATATAGTAATAATACTTGCATTTGATAATAGGGCCTATCGTGAAAATGTCTCAATGCACTTCACATGAGTTACGCGTAGTGACTGTATTTCTAGGGGAAAGTGGCAGCCAATTTGTTCACAGCCATAAAGTGAATGACCAGATTTTATCTGTGGGCTTATGATTCAGAGGCAAGAGGTACTGACTATCGTAACAAATTGATCCAGGCTGACACCAACATATAATAATAAATCGTAGTCCTTGTAACTAATGAAAGAAGTTATAGTGTACTGTGACTTTTAGGAGTCAAGCATGTTGTGCATTGTAATGTAGGAATGTTGGAAAACATGAATAGGAGGTCATTGAATCCATCAGTTTATTAGATCTTGGCAGTGGGGCAGAGCAAGTTAAATATTAACCATAAAACCATCATTTTGGATGGGTTCTTAAAGGCAAGTGGAGGGGAGGTGGAGAATCAAGGGAAAGCAAAATATTCTCCTGTGCTTAGAAAATGGCATGGTTACAAACTAAATTTATCTTTTTAAGAAAATAGTTTCCATTCTGAGGATCACTTGGAGCAACCTCCTGAGCTTGACTGTTCTCATAATATGAGGGAATCTAAACCAGTAGTGTGTTTTCCTCTGGCCAGGAGACTCTCTATCAGCTCCCTGAATATAATTGACATTTACATAGCGCCTTTCATCTCAGGAGGACATCTCAAGGCGCTAAACAACAATGGTTTGGCATCTAAGCTGGGGGTGGGAGCCAAGAGGGGGTGAGGTGGAGAAAGATGACTGAAAAGCACAATCAGAGGAAGGTCTTGAGACAGACCTTGAATGAGGTGAGGGATAGGATGAAAGCCTGCCTGCCTGAATCCCCACCAATAATAAGGGATTTAGTTCAACTGTCTTGTCGGGGGTCGAGGAGAAACTTTGCAGCTCTTTTCCTCATGTGATTTCAAATAACTTGTGAGTACATGGTTAAAATTCAAACTCCAAAGCGTTGCCTGCTAGGGAACTCTTGCCCCCTTTGCCGTTGGTCCTCTCTGCCCCGAGCTGTCCGATCTGCTGACTTTCTTTTAATATTCTACTTGGTCATCATCCGCTGAAATTCTTCCCTTATCAAAAGGAAGAACATCACCCTTGATTGTTTAGGTAATTATATAGATGGAATCTGTTTAAACAGAATTGGGTGTTTACTTTCAGTTTTAATGTGACTCGCCCACAATGCTTTCCTCTTGGAAAGCAGCTCGGGAGGGATTGTTTTTCTACAGGGCGGGAAAGGAAGTAAACACAGTCCGCAAGCAATGAATGATGTGGCACCAAAAATGAATTGAGGTTCTTGAACAGAGGCTGTAATTCCTCATCAGTAGCTGTTCTGTCATTAAGTGGCTGCTGTGACATTTAATTCTATTTGACCCTGGGTGCTGATAAGGTGACATCAGTACCACAAGACCTTTGTACCTGGTGTTCACTCAAAGCTTTGAATCTTATAGTCATGCACTCCTATCGGTCATCATCATCCAGCACTGAAAAGAGTGCAGGTTAATGCTTTCTGTATGGCAGGATGACAGGTATTTGCTGATAAATAACTTGCAGATGACAAGGCAAGAAAAGCTGACACAGGTTTGCCTACAAAAACAGTCACAATTCTAAACATTAAATACTGTAATTTGCTTTGAGATGTTTCAAAATAAGTTATTCTAAAATTACAAGATTGAAAGAATGCATTTAAGCAAGAGTTATAATAATAATCTTTGCATGTGATATAGGGCCTTATCGTGTTGGTGTCAATGGCTAAAGTGCTTCACAGGAGTCAACAAGGTCAAAGAGTTATATAAATAAATACAAGCTTCGAGACATCTCAAAGACGTGATAAGGTGCTATATCAGATGCAAGGATTATTATATTAATAATTGATTATGCATGAAACACAACAGTACTTAAGATTTTCTGTCGCTCGAGGGAAAGCCCTGCAAAGTTTCTCCTTGTACTGAGTCCCTTATTGGTGGGGATTCAGACAGGCGGGCTTCTGTAACGGTAAATTAAACTTGTAAAATCATGTGCTCTGTTTAATGAATGTTACCATTTCCCCCCTTTCCATTAGCTTGAGAAGAGCCTCACGTTCGATAAATTGCTGAAATGGACGAGTGCGGAAAGCTTGAGTTCCTCCACAGTGAATGTTTATCTGCCCAGATTCAAGCTGGAGGAAAGCTATGATCTGCAGGCCACACTGTCCAGTATGGGAATGTCAGATGTATTTGATGGTGCGAAAGCTGATTTCTCAAGAATGACTGGAGAACGGGGTCTCTCACTGACCAAAATTGTTCACAAATCTTTTATAGAGGTGACTGAAGAGGGGACTGAAGCAGCAGCGAGCACAGGGGCTGTTCTGATGTTCCGTTGCCTCAACTCGGATGAGTTTGTGGCTGATCACCCTTTTTTATTTTTCATTAGGGAAAGCAAAACCCAAAATATTTTATTTTTTGGCCGATTCTCAATCCCTTAGATCATTTCTGTTGTACAGTAAATGACGGTTGGAAATGCTGGTCAGCCGGGCGCCTGACACATGCAGAAACCCATCACCATGCTTAAGAGTATGCAAACCAAAGAGCTCCACGCGTCCCACCCATACAGAGATATTTCATGGAATGCCCACACTTTCCCTGCATCACATTATTACAGACTGTATTAAGCTCTGATTAGGCTTAGGGCTCCGAGAAGGTGCACTGCGGTACAGAGCGTTGGCTCCAGTCTGACATTCTGTTGTCAGACTTGTCACCTTGGAGCCAGTTCAGCTTCGTGGACCCTGCTTAACTCCCTTCCAAAGAGCTTACTTCATTGGCAACTTGCTTAAATGCTTAGCTCAGTTGGTAGCATTTTCACCTCCTGAGTCAGAAGGTTCTGGATTCAAACCCACATTGGGAGTTTGAATTCAGTCTCGGCTGTCCCTTCAATACAGTGCTGGGTGAGCAATTCATTTTAAAGGTACCATCCTGTAGATGAGACATTTAACTGAGACACAGCTCAGGTGGATCTTAAAGATTTTCTGGCACTATTTGAATTTTCTCCTGGCCAACAATCCCCCAAATAAAATTGGCTATTCACTTAATAGCTGTTTGTTGGGGCACTTCTGTGTGTAGATGGGCTACCACATTTACCCTACAAAAATAATAGTCACTACACTTACAGTAATTCCTGTGAAGCACTTTGAGCAGGCTTTATCACTCCATCAAAACATCTTAAATTGTTCCACAGGATCTGCTGTAAAGTGTAGTGGCTGTATTTATTTGTATTTGGCAGCCAATTTGCACACAGTAATGTCCCACCTTCATTTCACAAAATAAACACCAACTTTACTGAAATCCTGTTAAGCCCTGTAAGACACCAAAATGAAAGGTCACCCACTTGCCACGTTTGGGTTACATTTCTGTTTCAAAGTCTACTATTTCTGAATGTATTATTTAGTGATTGCACTATCTATATTAAAAGCTAACCATGATAAACTGCTCTAATCTTGTTCAGTATTACAAGTCTGCATTCTGTGTGATATTTCTATCATAAACTGCTACTATTTTGTTAATCCTAACAAATGTTCAGGACCTGTGAGATAGAAACGCATTGCATATTTTTATTTATTTTGCCACATTACAAAGACAGTGGTGTTATCTCCCTGTAACCACATGGTTTGCTGATGTGAGATAGATGCCAATTTTAGGTAGCACTAAACACTTTAGGTAGCACATGAAACGCTTACATTATGTTTGTTTTCAGCATTTCAGCACATTGGGACATTCTGCCGACGTGAAAGGTGTTCTATAAATGCAATTTGTGGTTGTTGTACTCTTTACCCATATTCTAGGTTTTATAATTTAAAAAATATACTTGATACAAAAGGCAGTGTTGGGTCCTGCTGGCGTTAACTGAAATTGGGACAGACTTAGACCAGATCCAGAGAACTAACCAGAGTTCAATATAACATTGGCGATCCCACTCTTGGTATGGAAAGTGCAAACATATAACCCTTGTGGAGTAACGGATGTTCTTCTAAAGATATCGGTAATAAACGTAGTAATCTCCAGAAGCATGGGAGGCTGCTGCTATCCCTTCACAAAACATAAATTGGGACAAAACATACAGCGTTCCTTTGTACTCCATACCAAAGGGAATGACCAAGCCAATTGGCTGCACAGGACAAATGATTGTCATGTCCTTGACAGATGCAACAGCCGCTAAAACTCCAAATCTGGTAGCTCCAGATTGAGCAGCCAGAGAACTCTTTACTGTTCCAGAAGTTAAAAAGATTTGTTAGCTGAATACTATCACACGTAATGCATGTAACCAGGGATTTTAAAGTGGTTAACACTTGTGCATGTCTTGTGTGTGCCCACAGATCCAGATAGCAGTGGTCCTCTCATTGAAAACTGGGCAAAGCCCTAGGCACAGTTCTGCAGACTGAGAGTTAGGTCAAACCTCTTGCAGGATTGGAGGGCTTGAGCCAGTTTGTTGACAGTAGCGCCTTTTCCACCTTCTTTCATCTGCCACTTGTGCAACATTTGGTAAACTTTCTCCTTCAGTCCGTCCCTCTCGTAGTCATGATCAATTTCATCAATTTCCGACTCCCTGAAGCCAAGCTTTCGAGCGCAGTGTTTCCAATCTTTCCCGAGCTCTGAGCGCAAGAGGTCAAGATGAGAATCTTTAACTGGGCTCCGGTCATCTGAAAATAGGGCAAGAGACACATCAGCTCTGCAATGGAGGAAACAGAAAATATGCAAACAAATTGCCTTCGCTGTGTAAAAGCCTTACTAAAAATTTCCAAGTGTTCCGCTCTTTGAGGTGCATTTGGCACTGCAGAATTTTTCTTCTTTTTCTTGTTGAAAACCTGTTTTTCAATATTCAGAACGTTATTGGAACCGATCTGAACAGTCTTGGTGTTTGATACAAAGATTCTTGATGTTGATTCTAATAAAGGAAAACACATTTAAGGACTAAGAAAATGCACACAGCTGAGCAAGAAGCTACGGACCTGTATTCAAACTCACATACGTACTGAAAATTAAATACCTGCCACCACAACTAAGAGAAATATGTGTTACACTTGTTAAACTGATATAGAAATGATTCTCACTATTTACCAACTCATGTTTTACAGGTTGATAGTGGGGACTATCTTACTCCGATAAAACATTGACTTTTTCATCAAGGTTTTGCTATATTTACCGATCAATGTTAACAACAACAATCAGGAGTCCTGTAGCTCAGTTAAAGCACTCGCTTCGCAAGCGAGAGACCTGGGTTTGATTCCCGGCAGGGCGAAATGTTGGGCAAGTTTCCTTACTCCACAAATCTCTGTTTACTTAGCAGTAAGTTGGAACCTGGTTATTAAGTCGATTGGTGGATCGCTTTTCTGGGGATAATAATCCCTCAAGAAAAAAACTGAAAAAAAACAATACTAATTTGGTCATTCAATCCACGACTGTTTGTGGGACACTGCTGTATGCAACTGGCTGCCGTGTTTCCTCCACAAATATAGTCAATTCAATTTACAGTATATTCTGTGAAGTGCTTTGAGACCTCTAAAAGATGTGAAAAGTGCCGTATCAATTCCAAGGATTATTATTATTTATATATGTTACAAAATTCCTCCTAAACTCACTTTTAGATCTGCTACAGGTTATTATATTTATGCCCCTTCATTTTGGACTCACCAACAAGTGGAAACAGCTATTCATGTCCACCTTATCAAACCCTTTTATAACCTTAAGCACTTTCATCGGGTCGCCTCTCGACATGGCATTGCTTTTTATTTTATTTTTATTTTATTTTCAGTGAGATATTCAAAGAAGGAAAAAGATTTGGAGGAATTAAGGGGACTGATGTAGAAATGAGAGGCACAGCAGTGATACAGTGATTGGGATGGGGGTATGTTGTATGCATTAATAGGAAGATATCACTGGGGGTGAGCCAGGTTTCAGTGAAGTAAAGGACATCAATGTTTTTATCAGCATAAGATTGCAGATGGAGAGAGATTTATTAGCAGGGAGTGGATGTTTTGGAGGGTGATGCGCAAGAGAAGGGAGATGGGAACTCAGCACAGTGGAGGATTCCTGGTCTTACCTGGGTCAACAAAGTTCAAGTTAGAGTCAGATCCAATGGTGTTTGCAGTATTCCAAGCAACATTCCCTAAAAACCAAAATAGAAAGCAATGCCACACCATTGTTTATTAAAGTTGACACAAGCACATTGCACTCTTCTACCAAATTCACCCGATATTAATCATTTGCAGATTTTCCCTTTTGCAGCCCAGCAGTACTGATGCCAGTAGTGGTGTGTAACAGCTGCCTCAGCTGAGATAAGACAATTTAGTACAGGAATGAGACTTGCAACTTTCTAATCGTATGGATTAGAACTGGGTGATGCCTTTATCAACCAGACCAGACTAATCAGAGGCTTAAATTATTGTCAACTTGACTTTGATTACAATGCCATACAGTAACTGATTATAATGTTGTGTAATGATTTGGATTATAATGGGGAAATCCCATTAAGAGAGAGGCATCATTAATGTTGGTGCTCAGAACCCTGGAATTTCATCCCTCAGGAGAGCGAGATAGACAGTTTTAATAATAATACAACAACTTGCAGCTATATAGCGGCCTTCTCGCAGGTTAGCATCCTGGAGAGCTTTATAATAATTCTTGAATTTGTTATCACATCTTCGAGTTGTCTCAAAATGCTTGACAGAATATACTGTAAAGTGAATTGACTGCACATTTTGTGGGCGAAACACAGCAGCCAGACACAACAGTGTACCAAAAACAGTTGTGGATTAAGTGACCAATTTTTTAAAAAAAATTATTTTTGAACGGATTATTACCCACAAAAAAGCAAATTGACAAATTCACTAACAACTGGGTTCTTACTTTCTGCGTGTGGAGTAAGGAAACTTGCCTAATATTTTGCCCTGGCCGGGAATCAAACTCAGGTCCTCTAGTTTGCGAGGTGAATGGTCTAACCAATACGCTACAGAATACATTTTAAATCGGAATAGCTAGCAGCTAAGCCAGGTTCATCTTTTGTCAAACCAGTGAATTTACTTGTTCCACCCCACAACACGAGAGAGACCACTAGTCGCCTGCCTGCCACACAAACCCTATGTGCCTGAGACTGGCTCGGGCCAATGGACAATCCCATTCCCACTGGTGAATGGTACCAAGAGGTAAGTCTTGAGATGTGCCTAACCTTAAACTTCCCGGGACTCTACCCCACATAAAGGGTGCTATATAAATGCAGGTTGTTGTTGTTGTTGTTGTAACCTATACAATCGAGGAGTCTCTGACACTCACGGCCAAGGCTCATACATGAACAATGCTTACTTGCACAGGGCGCTGGAGGTTAAACACAGCCCATGAGTAAGAGGCTGGAGATCAGGAGCAGAGGCGTTTGCCAACAGATTTTTTAAAAAAAATAACTGGACCCAAAATTTTCAGGGAGAACTCTTGCAACAAATTCAGGAAGAAGTGTATCAACACATTTATGAAGTGTTTTCGGGCTTATTTTTACTTGACAGATTGCTACATAAACAAGTTATTATTGTTTGCCATCACCCTGGCCCACATCAATATAGAAGTAGAATAGTTACAACGCCTACTTTAATGCAATTTTTGATTACAATTTGCACTTATATCGCATCCTCCACACAGGGTAGCGTCTCGGAGCACTTAAATTACAAAAAGCAATTAAAATTAAAAGCACAAAAAACACACCTGGTCTTGTATGCTCCTGCCATAGGGGAGTCCTCAATTGCCGTTCAACATGCAGGCTACCAGTTTCTGAAATGGGAATGGTGCCCAGACCTCTTTGTGCAATCTCCCCCTGTGTCATAGGGATACCTACTGGGCTTGTTTTAGTTGCATACGCGCTGGTCTCCTCCTTGGCTGGTTTACAAAGGCTGTCATAAGTGGCTGCCCCCTGGTAAAGATCAGGGTGAGCCCCCAAATTCTGGGTGCTAGAAGACATTGGAGCACTGTGTAACCCTGCCAAAAGGTTGGTGTGGAACATTTTAGCAGAAAACTGGTTTGTGAACACGGGTTCATTTGAAACTCTCCTGCTTCTTTCCTCCATGATCTGATTGAATTGGCTCTCAGGATATTGTGAGCACACGTTGTCTAGACGGCTGCCGTACATGTGGTAATTGTATTCATCATCCAGCTTCCTCAAGAGAGGAGGTAAAGCTTGGCTGTTATACTCTTCCTCAGAAGGCTCGTTCAATTTTGCTGGAGCGAATGAGTCCTCCGCAATGTGGCCACTGGCAGCGTTTCCTTGTGAGCTATGTAAGGAATTTGGATCATCTGTGAAACACACAAAGAGAAACTGTAAATTTTAATTGCTGAATAATTTATACACTGAGGTCTAATTTACAATATTTATAACCTGAATTCAATGTGTTAGCCTGATTCTTTCTCCCTCATAACTAATTGGATGCCGTTCTTACATACTGGCAATGCTAACTAAGATGTGAGCCAGAATGGTTCATTCGCTGATGCTTACAGTTAGTTCATTTCATGGTAAAACCTGGAAACTGCTTTGAGACATCTTAATCATGTGAGAAGGCGTTATATCAAATGCGAGGATTATATAATGTGCTAATTACGATTTCCTGCGAGCAAACATCCAGATATTTGAGAGATTTATAAACAGCTGGATGTGTTTGAATCATGTTTATGAAAGTCACAGTTAACATCCCTAATCCCTAACATTCCACACGTATTTAAAGGGAAGACTGAGTTTGAAAGGGGAAAGTGTGCTCTGCTGAATAATCCTGTGTCAATATTCTTTCATACTTCAGGAAAATGTATAAAACATGACAAACACTGCATTCTGTGACTCAGACCTTCTCGTGTTTAAGATGTGAAGTGTACCTTTTGTAGCATGGCTTGGCAGTTCTGCATTACTATCCATTTGAAGAGACTGCATTCTTTTAACCAGTTCTCTTGGAGCAGTTGGCTTCACCCGGGTTAATTCCTGTTAATTGTTAAAGCAGGAGCAAGGTCACAACAATTCAGTTCTGGGCAAGTGGATGGAATTACAGTCTTAGCACAATTGTGAAAATTAATATGAGAAACATGGTGCTATTAGGTCCACCTTTGAAGAAGTTATGAGGAATTCCACTAATAATTGCTGAGATAAAATCTGTTGAAAACTCTGCTAAATCTTTTACAATTACCTCTGGGCTAAAGGGAAGGAGTAGATGTTTAAGGATTATGGGGTTCTCTAAATTAAAATGCAGGGATTATTACATATATTTTAGTGGGAAATTACAAAAGAGAGAAAGGAAACATTATACAGGTCCTAAATAAAAACAGAAACCATGCGGAGGGATGCTGGAATTATGAAATAAAACCCAAAACACTGAAAGTGTCACTCAGATCTGACCCATCAGAAAAAGTGCTCTGAAAAAGACCAGGCCTGAAACTTTAACCTATTTATCTTGTTCAGATTCTGCACAAGTAAATATTGTTGGGAAATCAGTACAAGAATAAACATTACTGATTCAAGATCATAATGGCTCGAAAATCTCATGAAGCTCTTTGAGACATCTCAATGATGTGATGATGTGCTATGTCAAACGCAAGGATTATTATTATTATAATAATAAAACTGCAGATTGTAACATTAAATCAATACTTACTCTTAATGTTTCTATATCTGTAGTAATGTCTTCACTTAGCTTTTCTTCATAGAATGGCCTTAATTTATGATTACATTCTGAAACAGACAGGATTGTTAGTGAGCAATAAACACATTCAGTCTCCTTTAAATAGGAACGTATGGGACCAGAAAGACCATTATGATCCCATCATCCCATATAAAAATAATTAAATCTGGAAAGTGTCTGGTCACTTTCTCTTTGGAGCTTGAGTCTGTGTCCCCTAAACTTATTGACCGTGTTGCCAGAGTGCAGGAATGCACCTCAGTACATCTGTAATCTGGCAATAACCAGCAGCTGCATATTGCTCTTGGTCCATCATGTACTCGTATAGCATGTGATTTTGCAAACAAAAGGCAACTATATTAATCCCTTAATTGTCATGCTATAAGCTTGGAGATGAGAAAGGTGAGATGGTTCTATCACCCTTATATGTACACCCTCAATATGGCTCGCTCTCCCTCGTAGTGTACTTACAAGGTGGTCTGTGTCCAATCTTCACTAATGAATGCAAGTTCCTATAACTAGGTATAACTTGACTAATGAGTTCTTTCATGACGACAGATATTATTAATTGCTATTTAAATTAAAGCAAATAGGAAAGCTTCAGTCAATCAGAGGTTTATTTTACACCTCTGTGACCTAAGCTGAACCTGTTTGTGTATTCCTCCTTCTTTGATTTATACAGAAAGCTTGAGTTAATCACAGTTAAGTTAGCTCCACAGAATTTTATTGTAGCTTCAATGAAATCCACAACCCTCAGCATTAAATCTTAAACAAGAAATATTAACAACCACAACTATAAGATAACAAACATAAAATCACACTTAAATTACACACGATAGCAGCCACATGTAATGAAGTTAATGTGAAGTGCACGAAGACTACTACTCATCAATAGTCAGAGCACGTACCTTTGTTGTCATCAGATCGAAAAATAGTGACCACGAGCACATGGCACTCGTTCTTTTACGGGCATTGAGCCCCTCCCCGAATTAGGGTACCCAGTGGTAACTGTATTGCACTAATTACCCGATGTAACAAAAAAGGCACCGATTACTTAATGTACCCGTATAGCGGGTACATTTCCAATCCTTCATCTGCATATTGGAATGGTAAATTACCGTCAAATGATTGAGGTCAATGCTAGAGTTGGACTTGATAGCACCATAAGTATCAAAAACATTCAATACACAATTTTTTTTTAAAAGCGTTACTCAATATAGTTAAACAACAGAGAGGCGTTGAAAACAAAAAGGGGTGACCGTGACAAAGGTTATAGATTTGTGAACTGCGTATTCCACTGAATGCACTAAATTGAAATATTGCTTACATCTCTTCTGCCATTAGAGGGAGCACTACACCTTAGGAGATTTTACAGCACTGGACATCATTTTGTGAAAATATTTCTGGTCAGCTGTGTGTCTGACGCATGCTTAAAGGCTGAGAGTATGCTAGCCACACATGGAAATTTCCTTGTGTCTGAAATGGAAGGTGCATTCTTGCACTGGAAGAACGCATTCTTCTTATCTAAATCTGAAAGAGTATTAGAACCTAGTGAGCAGGAGCCAAGGCTTGGGACCCCATCGTGTGCGTTGGGGTTACTGCTGGAATCTAACCAGCTAAAATTGCAAGATACAATACTTGAGCACACTGACAAGAGTCAGATTCTAGACCAAGGGTTCCCAAACTTTCTGGGCTCAAGGTCACCATGATATTAGTCATCCTGACTGAAGACCCCCACTTGGGCTGGGATCTCTGGAGCCTTGGGGGGGGGGGGTTGAAAATATTCTTGGGGTAAAATGATTAAGACTTATCGGACATCCTCACCTTTAATTATCAATTCACTTTACAGTATATTCTGTGAAGTGCTTTGAGACGTCTCAAAGACGTGATAAGGCACTATACCAAATGCAAATATTATTATTATTGGCCAATGAACCTGACAGTCAAGCCAAACGCTTGGTTTTAAGACACATGCAACCCTTGCACTTCCTGCTGCCTTCTGTGTGTCTTCTAGCTCAGCGGTCCCCCTGAACTATCCCCGCCCACCTGCCCCCCCAACCCCATCGGGCTCCAGGGATCCCAGTTTGGGAACCAATGTCCTATCAAGACTAAAAGAGTAGCAAAAGCTTCTGATCAGTAGAGGTGCAATCCTCTCTAAAACGCAAAGGCTGCAAAAAGCAAAGTACAAAAATAACTTGTGAACTTCTCTATTCAAAAAAAATGCACATCAGCAACATCATACCACACTGCCTTGCAAAATAAAATCCCAAACTCCCAATAGTGATTGTGCATCAGATCAGTCAAAAACTGGGCTTCCAATCATTTCCAAATCTTCATGCCTGTTCTTAAGAATTTGGACGCGGGTTGTCACAGGGGTGTTCATTCAGGTTGCATTAACTCTACTAAGATCCACTAACTCAGCATAGATCAATGATGGAGACTGGAAACTTCACCTCTGCGTATTTCCATATTGGATAAACAGCTCCTTGAGACATCCTCCAGACATGAAAGGTGAGTCATGGAAATGCAGACAATACAAAGGTAATTTCTTGTTGTGAACCATTCATTTAATTCCAGAAGAGGACATCCAACCTTCTCAGATAGGTAATAAAACAAAGAAAGTCGAAACTGGCTTTTCTTTTCAGCTGATTGAAGGCTGTATTTGTGGTTCTGTGTATTTCTATAATTCTAGGTTCAATATTCAGTCAAAGAAATGTAGACACAAGGCACAGTATTATGCGCAGTTTGTCAAGAATGAAGGCTTGTGGACCAGACAATATGCATTGGGGTACAGTGTTCAATGTTTTTTGACTATAGATGTTTGCATGTTACTTTTGCACTTTTACAGCCTTTGGGTTTTAAGAGAGGATTGCATGTAGGTGTTCTAACTCCAGTAATAACCCAGAAATTCTTCAGGATTTCCATTGCTCTGCAAAGTTACCAATCTTGGCAGTGTATAAGAAAAGAACTGAGTCTCAGTCAATTACCCACCTTTAAAGGTTGGCCTGCTCTCAGGCTTGTTTTCCCAGCACTGTTGCATTAAGTTTACAATCTCCTCTGGTGCCTCATTAGGAAGCTCGTTTACATCGGGACGATCTCCATTAAGGACTAGATGATAGATCTGAGTGTCATTTACTGCATCTGGAGACATTTGAAACAAAAAAAACATTTCAGAAATCAACATAAAATGCAAACGCATTCTGAATCAATCACAAACCAGCACTCCTGCCTTCCAAATGGCAGCCAGTTTGATGAGAGTACACACAAAGACAACCCACACTAACACTCACCAACCCCCACCAACTCAAGACAACACATACTCATCCATCCCCACCCTCCACTCATACAATCCCTCACACAATTCCACCCCACTCAGACATACACCACACCCCCCCACACTCACACAACTACTACTTTTCACCACCCCCAAACACACACAAATCCACCACACTCACACATACCACAACGATCCCCAAACACTCACACAAACCAGACAACTCTGCCCACACAAAAAACATAAACACACAAATGCCCCCCGAACACAAAACACATGTACAAACAACAACAACAACAAGATTGCATTTATAGAGCGTCTCTCACATTGGGAGGTCATCCCAAGGCACTGGACAGTTGGGTCGAGACCCGAGCAGGGGGGATCTGGTCAGGGTGAGGGGAGGGAAGGGAGGGAGCAAGGAGGGGGTAGAGAGTCGAGAGGGGAGCTGAAGGCACGGTTGAAGAGAAAGGTCTTGAGACCGGCCTTGAAGGAGAAAAGGGAGGAAGCAAGGCGAAGATACTGGGGGATGGAGTTCCAGAGCCAACTCCACGCAACACACAAAAAACACTATAGAAATGATACACACATACACAAAACAGAAAAACCACACACACAGACATAAAACTACACACAAGCACACACATGTACAAACACTCACACAAAACAAAAAAAACAATTAGCATTTATATAGCGCCATTCACATTCTTGGAGCTCTCAAACCACGTGCACAAAATCACACATACACCAAAGAAAATAACTACAACTTGCATTTATATAGTGCCCTTCATGTAGAATAGCATCTTGGAGCGCTCAAACTACACACACACTCACACAGATACAACCATTGGTGGCCATGCTTTCAGCCACTATACCCCAAACTATGAATCTCCCTGGTTCAATCCCTCTGCATTGCCTCCTCCTTCCTCGTCTTCTGATCACACTTAAAGATCTTCCTCTGTGACCATGCCTTGCCATTTTCCCTCCTCTCCCTGGGTCAGTGTTAAGCACTCTGAGTTAATGTTATGCTACTCTGTGTGCTATATAAATTCAAGTTGTTGTTGTTGATAATAGTAATAATCCTTGCATTTGACATAGCGCTTTATCACGTCTTTGAGACGCCTCAAAGTGCTTCACAGAATATACTATAAAGTGTAAAGGGCAAAATGTGGCAGCCAATTGCACGCAGCAGTGTCCCACAAACAGTCGTGGATTGAAGTGACAAATTCATTATTTTTTCGAAGGAATTATTACCCCTGGAACAGCGATCTACAATCGACTAATAACCGGGTTCTTAATTACTGCTAGGTAAACAGAGGCGTGTGGAGTAAGGAAACATGCCCAACATTTCACCCTGTCGGAAATCAAACTCAGGTCTCTCGCTTGCGAGACGAGTGCTCTAACCACTGAGCTATAGGACTCAATTTTGACGATCAAAATTGAGAAAAATCACTTCACAGGTCTTGATTTTCATTATCACTAAGGCTATAAGAAAATCACAGGCCACGATTTTGTTTTGGAAACCACAACTTGTAACACCCACTGCAACTTTATATAGTTCCTCAATGTTTAATGACGATAGTGAGTATGCACTTCCCTTGATAGGCGGATGGTCCAATGGGAGTCCGTACTCACTGCAAGTACTTGAACTGACTACAGTAAAACCACAACTTCAGCAAACTGTGTCTGCAACATTTGGACCAAAATAATTGCGATTTTCTTACAGCCTTATCTACCACCTCATAGAAGCTGATGTGTCAAAACAAGCACAACAAACAATAAATTGCATTGCATAGTGCCTTTCAGGTCAGGAGGATGTCCCAAGACACTGGAGAGTCAAGGGTTTGCACCCAAACTGGATTCGGGAGGGACTTTGGAGAGATTAAAAGGACGAGGATCTCAATTCTTTGGAGGATGGGATGAGGATGGGGAACAAGTGGAGTCCAGCAAGGACGAGGGTGATAGGCTCATGGAGCACTTAATAATGGGAGCAGTGAACACTGAGCAAGAAGAGAAAAGAATGTTGAGGAGAGTGAAGGCATGGTCGATAGGATAGTGGAACTATCCTTTAGAACTGCATCCTATAATCCCTTTGCTTGCTCCCTCTCTTGCCTGCTTCAAGGCCTGTCTCAAGACCCTCCTATTCAACCATGCCTTTGTTCACCCTCCTACCCCTACCTTCCATCCCTCCTGATCCCAACCACCTGCTCGGGTTCAAATCCCTGGCTGACCAGCGTCTTGGGATGTCCTCCCGACCTGAAAGGCGCTATACAAATGTAATTTGTTGTTGTTGTGTGTCGGGGTTTGGTCAGGATTTAATGCCTCTTGAATGGCGTACTTTCTCCATCCCCCAAAACAAAACCAGATGTAAATAATAATAATCCTTGCATTTTTATAGTGCCTTTCACGTCAAGAGGAAGTCTCAAGCACCTCACAGGATTTCTGATACAAGGTGGTGTGCTTTGCTCAGAGGGATCATTAGTGCGATGGGATTATAAGAGGCCCCACGCTTAATTTGATTTTGCTTTTCAGGAGGTGAAAATGTATCCACATGGATGTTACAGATGTATTATACATGGATCTAATCTCAATCATACTGAGGGATGCACATTGATCTTGGTATTATATTGTCTAGCATTCACACGTTCGTTTGAAAATGCTTTAAAAAGTTAAAAGAATGGGAATCAGCGAGCTAGTAAGAACGACAACTTGCATTTACATAGTGCCCTTCACACAGAGTAGAATCTTGGCATCCTGACAGCATAAATTGGGATTATACCCAGAAGAAAATCAGGAGAGGCTAGAAGATGTGCCTTTACTGTGAAGTTAGTACAAGTGTAATATCTCACCACAACTGGCTGTTAAACATTTGTAAGGGAACTGGATAACTGCTTGAGGAAAAATAATATTAAGGGGCAGGACAATGGGATCAGTGGAGATAACTGCAGTAGGGGAGCTAGCACTCACAAAGACCACATTTCGCCCTACTGTGCTGTGAACTGTCTATGATTCTGAGTCTCGCAAAGAGCCCCAAAGTGAGCAGTCACAAACTACTTACTTTCATATGGTTCCTTATTGGTCATGATGACCCAGACCACGATTGAGAAACTGTAGACATCAGATTTCTCCGTGGGTTTGGTATTCAGCGATTGCAGGTGCTCGGGAGCCAGGTAGCAGAGAGTACCCGCATTGTTCTTGGGCTGGATGCCTAAATTGGACCTTCGGTTTTGCTCTTCCGTCAGCCTGCTCCAGGTTTTAAAAGTTGCTACACCAAGATCTGCGATCTAAAGAGAAAAAGCGGGTACTAAAAGAATCTTCTATTCCGACAATGTCTCCAACATTAATAGCAGGTGGTTTAAAAACTATGTCATCTTTTTGGTCAGCCGGGTGTCTGACACATGAGGAAACACATCACCATACTCAACAGTATGCAAATCAAACTGAGATTTCTATGCATCCCACGTACACATGGAAATCCCAGAGATAGATTCTTGGAATGGAATGCGCACTTTCTCCCTGGAAGGGTGCATCCTGCTTACCTAATTCTGGAGAGTATTAGGCGCAGGTGGGCAAGAGCCATGTGTTGGTGACCCCAGAGTGTGCATTGGGTTACTACTGGAGTCTAACTAAACTGCCCAGCTTGCCATTGATATTACTATCCGGCAAGGTTTTGTCCGCTGTTTGTCCAGCTAGGACCACCCTATCCTTTAGGGCTTTGGATTGCAGGGTTAACAGAAGCTGAGTGGGATGATTCTCTGCCCCAGTGACAACTATGTGAGAATTGTTACATTTCTTATGAAATACAGAGAGAATCTAATTTGCAGTGTTCTAAACTGGATTTGTTGTGCAAATTTTTAATCCTGGTGTGCACAATTCACAGCAGCTAAATCCAAAAACATCACCCACATCTGCCCAGAGACTGGCTGATTTGCTCGGTATTCACAATGCACGTGGACAATTCACTGCTCCCTTTTCTCAGTGCCAAGCCTATACACCTGACTTACCCGATGAGTCACAAATCTTTTTAATAATGTTTGCACTTGAATCTGTTTATTTACTTTTAAAACGTTTGGGCTGAGGCAACATCTATTGTGCTCTGCCGCAGTTTGTTCAACTCCTGATGTAAAGAATAATAAAAATAAAAAATATTATTGTACATAATAAATAATAATCCTTATATTTCATATAGTGCCTTTCACTTCAGGAGAATGTCTCAAAGTGCTTCACAGGATATACTACAAAGAGCAGTAAATTGTGCATCAGTCCATTCTCTATCCTTTATATATACCGACGCTATATAAATGCAAATTGTTTTTTTACCTTGATGTGATAATCTGCATCCACCAAGATGTTTTCAGGTTTCAGATCTTTGTGCACAATTTGCTGTTCATTTAGATAAGCCATTCCTTCAATAATTTCCAAAGTTATCCTTCCTTTCACAGATAATGGCACAGACACCTAAAATTACAAACAATTAAATTGATTTAATTTCCAAATGGAAATATAGAAAACAAACATTTCCCTTTACAATTTGAAATATGTATGAAATTACAAGCAGTTCAACGCTCCGAGAGGCTATCCCGCTTGAAGGGCGTTTTTGTTGTATCGAATCAACATGTGCTCTACTTCTGTTAATTATTAAATCCGTAAGTTAACAGAGTTGATGTGCCTGTATAGAATAGCTATGGATGATTTCTTCTGCACACAAGTTACATTTTTTCAAGTCACAAGACTTGAGCATTTGCTGACGCATGAATGACCCTTGCTCCGTTGAGACCAAGAAAAGGAGAGATAGCCCACATTAGGTCTCCAGGTAAATTGCCCCATTGGCACAGGTATTGAGTGAGAATGTTGTGAATGTCTCATCTACTCTCTGAGGTAATTGAACAAGGCTTTAGGAGAGCTCTCTGGGTGGAATTATTTCAAATAAAAGGAAGGAACTCTGTCTGGGGCTGGATCTGGGCATCTACTATATGTGCAAAGCAGCCCCAGGAAAGCTATGCACTTGCTCTTTGACATCTAGTACAAATGTTCTGCACCTCTGTGCTCTCAGCAACCGGACTCAGGGTCATAAGACATCTGTCCTTGCAACTCTTGCCTCATATTCGCCTTGTTACGGCACTTATTATATTGAAACGAAACATACAAACTCGTCTTGCAAAGTGCAGAAATTGAAAAACAACATGTGTAGCTCTTTGTAACACCAGAAAAGAATTCCAGCTGCACATCTTTACCCTTAATAATTTGTATGATCCACATTACAGGTTATTTTATTGGTAGACTCCAGAGGTTACAAGAACTATTGGGGAGAAATTCCACTGAGACCTAGATTTATGTAGCATTATAGCAATTCAATAAATTGTTAAATTTAGGATTATCTTTAAAGTGTCAGCCTGGCTCGGTTGGTAGCACTCTCATTTCTGAAGATTGTGAGTTCAAGCTCCACATTGTCACTTTGAATTCATGTGATCTGGGCTAACTAACACTCCAATGCAGTGCAGAAGGTATGCTGCATTGCTGGAGCTGGTACTACTCAAAAGAGAAGGGTATTTCTCCTGGTGTCCTGCTGATAATTCTCCAAATAAAATAAGTCATTGACTTCATGGATTTGGGACATTGCATCTACAAATTGGCTGAGTTGCCTACCAAATACAAATGCTACACTTTGGAGTAAAGCCTGTGAGTCTCTTTGAGGTGAAAGGTATTGAAAGGTATATCAAATGCAAGGATTACTTTTGAAGTTAAAATAATTTACAGAAACTGGCTTCAAAATTAAGGCTGCGTTTTAATAATTTGTCAATTTTTTAATGCCCTGAAGTGCTGCACAAATATAGTAAATATAGACCTAGGTGGAATTTCTCTCCATATATTTTCACATTGCAGTACTTGGGTGTGGCCCGCTCTCAGGCCCAGGGATACTTACACATTTTAAAAGCTGTAGCAAATTCCCATTTTCCATGAATTCCATGACAAGTGAGTAATTGCCTTCTTCCAAAATAACTCCGATCAGCTTTATAACCCGATCATGATTCAACCTGTGCATCATTTTTCCTTCCTCCAGGAGGGAAGAATTGAATCTGCAAAATGAAAGAAGAAATAAATACGAACTCCCAAGCAGTTAACATTATACAACCATTAAACTATCTGCTCATCTGCTCAGAGAGGCTGAAGGCCTGACCGCCGATGGTTGGGCGGGTCGAGCGAGGGACATTACAGGCTCTGTTATTGGTAGACGCCAAAGGTTACAAGAACTATTGGGGAGAAATTCCACTGAGGCCTAGATTTATGTAGCATTTTGTAGCATCCAGTATTCAATAAATTGTTAAATTTAGGATTATCTTTAAAGTGTCAGCCTGGCTCAGTTGGTAGCACTCTCACTTCTGAAGATTGTGAGTTCAAGCTCCACATTGGCACTTTGAAATCATGTTGTCTGGGCTAACTTACACTCCAATGCAGTGCAGAGGGTATGCTGCATTGCTGGAGGCAGTACTGCTCAAAAGAGAAGGGAATTTCTCCTGGTTTCCTTCTGATAATTCTCCAAATAGAAAAAGTCATTGACTTTGTGGCTGTGGGACATTGCATCTACAAATTGGCTGAGTTGGCCTACAAAAGACAATTGCTACACTGTGGAGTAAAGCCTGTGAGTCTCTTTGAGGTGAAAGGTATTGAAAGGTATATCAAATGCAGGGATTATTTTTTAAATTAAAAGAATTTACAGAAACTGGCTTGAAAATTCAGGCTGGAAAGTGGATTGACTGTATATTTTTTCGTAGGTGAAATGTGGCAGCCAGTTTGTGCACAGCAATATCCCACAAACAGCCATGCAGTGAGTGACCAATTTTATTTGGGGGATTTGTTGGCCAGGACTTTGGGAGAAATAACCTTCTCTTTTTGAATAGTGCCATGGAATCTTCAACAGGACCTCGGTTTAACATCTCATCCAAAGGATGGCACCTCCGACAAGCAACACCCCCCTAGAAATGCACTGGTGTGTCAGCTTAAGACAATGTGATTCTAAGTCCCGACATGGGGCTTGGACCTTCTGACAATCTTCTGACTCAGAGACAAGAGTGCTATCACTGAACCAGGCTGGCACACAAATAGCAATCTTTTGTTACGTCAACAGTGCAATAAAAAGATCGCTTCTTGTAGCTACCTAATGACGTAAGATCATTAACCACTAATAATCATTCACCTGCACAAATCAATCAGGTTCCAGGAGGCACCATAAGGGATGGCTAGTCACAATGTTTCTTCCTCCTCCTCCTCCTGTCAAACCCTTTACATGAAATGAAATTGTCTCATTTCCATATAGCATTTCATCTGATCATAAATGGCAATGTTCTCTCAACTAAGTTCACAGCCAGCCTGTGACTCAAGCTCATTGGTGTTGAAACTCTTATGCTTTACAGCATCTTTTTAAATTGGGCTGAGACACCTTGTTGCAGACAGGGTCATCTCCAACTGGGAGCTGTCAGCAGTGCAGAGATCGCTTTATGTAAAGAGGAACCTTGTGCTCTTGAACAGGAAGGAGATACGGCGGGCAGACAATTAATGGACTCCATTGACATGCATGTCAGCCCTTTGAGGATTCCTGGACAAAATATTGTTTAGAATCATAGAGCATAAAAGAAGATTTATATCAGGTCATGTGGCTATGCAACGGTGACACTGCTGAAGCACGTTGTAAAGTATCACAGTATACTTTGTGAAAACATTACACAATAAAAGAGATGAGGTTTCAGCCCCGCACGGTCGGTAGCACTCTCGTCTCTGAGTCAGAAGGGTTTGGGTTTGTGTCCCATGATGGGACTTTGAACTCATTGTCCAGCAGTTTTGCAATGGGCATTTTCTTCAATGCCTTTGCACATGTGGTGCATCAAAGAAGTATAATCCTCGCATTGACACAACAGGCTCTTTCTATCCCAATATCTTTCCTGACCCACTCCTCAATTTTTATCACATCAAGCAGAATAAATTCTTCAGCATTTGCAGACATTTTGCTATCCTGCTGATTGAAAACAAATTGCAATGAATTTAAAGTCACGGCAGCAGGTCCTCCTCACATTACACTTACTCTGTTCGCTGTGGTCCTGTGTACACGGTTTTGAGAACAACAAGTCCATGATTCTTGCTGAAACACAGCGAGACCATTCCAAAGCCTCCAGCGTCTAGGGGCTTCTTCTCAATCAGCTCAGTGGAGTCAATGCGGATTTTATCTAAAGACATGGCTGTTCTTACTGGGCTTTCAGACTTTGATCATAACTGGTTAGCGTCTTTTGCCTGTTGTTTAAAAAAAGAACAGTAAGTAAATGCCAGAACAGTGGATACTACTTGAAGAAGCAATAAAATTATAATCCATAAAATTTATATTACGTCGTCAAGACGTCTCAAAGCACTTCACAAAATATACTGTAAAGTGAATTGCCTGTATATTTTGTGGGTGAAAAGTGGCAGCTAAACGCACACAGCAGTCTCCCACAAGCAGTCGTGGATTGACTGACCAAATTTTTGGGGATTATTCCCCCAAAATTAATTAAGAAAGCAATCTGCCAATCGAATAACAACTGGGTTCCTACTTACTGTTGGGTAAACAGAGGTATGTGCAGCAAGGAAACTTACCTACGGTTTCGCCCTGCCCGGCAGGTTAGAGTGCCCGGCAAGTGCTCTAACCAATACACTACAGGACTGCTAATAATCAAATATCCTTTTAAACAGCTCCTTTAAAACCATCAAAAACATCTACATAACCAATATTGTGTAATATGGTCATCTCACTGAAGCTTTTATTTTTCTATAAGTAAAATTTATTTTTCACAATATCTTTCTATTACTTTCATTTCCTCTTTTTTTAATGGAGTCTCATTTCTCCTGATTAGACTCCTAGCTCATCCCGTAATCAGACATTCTCATCCCCTTTACTCTCCAGGTCACTGTAATGTGCAAGCGCTTTCATTTCCGACAGATTGTGAAACAGACAAAGAATAGACCTTTGTGTTACTCGATATGCAAGGCCTCTCTATACAGGAAACACAGGAAAATAAGAACAAGGTGAAGAAGCAATTCTGCTCATCAAGCCTGCACCACCAGTTTATTAGATCTTGACGGATCCTTTCATCTGAATCCTACCCTACCAAATCCCCAGGTAGGCACACATTAGGAGCAGTTAATAACACAGTTCATCAGATTCTGTGTTAAAATGTTAGTTTTATTCACAATCAATCTTGTCATGTCAGACAGAGCTGCTGAAAGACAATCATTTATAGAACGGATTATCGGGGGTAAATTACCTTTCAGGGGCCAAAAATTCCCCTGGTTCTTTTTTTTAACATTTCAGAGCATGCAAATTTGGGCAAATTCTTAATTAATTTGGGAATCCAATTTTCTGTCATCGTAAAAGAATCTGTGGAAAAGCACATCAAATGGCTTCTCATATGCATCCAATTTAGGCACGTGTACGCACACAGTTAAGAAAACTGTTAGGCAGATTTTATCTTAAAATAATTGTTAGTTTTATTCATAGTCAATCTTGTCACATGACAGACAGAACTGCTGAAACAGAATTATTCCGGAACAGGACGATAGTGTGCAAGTCACGTTCAAGTTTAGGACTGAATTTAAGTATCTGTCAAAACCTGCATGTTTTTAAGTATTAAGGGAATAGTCTAAATGTGAAATTAGTGGAATTGCTGGCTGCTGAACAACTTCTTAACTCCCTCTCTTCCTACTAGAGAACAATTAGATTCCAAGGCTGAGATAGCAATGTGGAAGCTTAATCCAGGAGTGCTCTTGGTGTTTACCAGATCTGCTAAATCTGGACTCAACTCTAGTTTACAAGCCTCCAAAAACAGCTGATTGGCATATTATTACTAGATCATTACTTTGAACATCAAACTAACCCTCAACATCCACTGTAATGTCACACCACACAGGAGAGGCGCAAACATTAAACCACATGACATTTCCTCTGCCTCAAGAAGAAATTGCTACTTTTTAAAAAGATGCATTCTAAATAAAAGTTCACACAACCTTTCATATAGGAGAACGCCTTGAAGCGCCTGACAGGGACAGTGTGAAAAGCTGAGAAAAGTGGGAAATAAGGACGATAGATACGAGGGAGGTGACTGAAGGAAAAATGTTGGGTTGAGTTTTAGACAAGCAGAGAGATGAGCCAATTTGGGTAACGCTTTATAATAACAAGAAATATATAAGACTTAGAAAACATAGAAATTGCTATGAAAGTATTCAATAAAAAAATGCAAGGTTCTGGTGCTAGAGAAGCTACTAATTTTGTGCAATTAGAATGAGACCATGGATCTTTCAAAGCAGATTTGAATTAATTGAGTTAGTAGAGATTGTTTCTTGATTTACTGGATTAAAGGTGTATCAGAGAAGAGGAAGTACTTGATCGAGTTGGTTTCCTAATTGCTGCTGCAGTACCCTGTCATATAGCAATGGGTGAAGTTTGTTGTGGGTTACATTTCAAATTTCCTGGTTTATATTTCTGAATTAGCAAACTCATATCTCTACTGAAAATGAGGAACTATGGTCCAGTGAAACTCAGTGCAAACTAGGAAGATGCAGCTGGGATGTGCAACTTCTCTGAGCTCCTTATCGTATGTGAAGGGTATGATAAATATAGCAAGCTGCTGTTATTCAATAAGTGGAGTCTTGTAGCTCAGTGGTTAGAGCACGCGCCTTGCAAGCGAGACACCTGGGTTCAATTCCAGGCAGGTCAGGGCGAAACCTTGGGCAAGTTTCCTTACTCCACACACCTAATAATAATCCCTCCAAAAACAAAACAATAATAAATTGGTCATTTTCAATCCACAACTGTTTGTGAGACACTGCTGTGTGCAACTGGCTTCCGCGTTTCGCCCACAATTATACAGTCAATTAACTTTACAGCATATTCTGTGAAGCACTTTGAGATGTCTAGAAGACGTGAAAAGCGCTATATCAAAAGCAGGGATTATTATTATTATTATTAGACTGTCACCATGAGTAGTCCTATAGTTTATAACTACAGATCAACAAAGCAGCAGTCATCAAGCACTACATCCTGAGCTTTTATCTCCACAAACAGTATATCCTTCCTCCCCTGTCCATTCACCTGTGTTGTACCTGAAGGCTCCATCAATGGACCCCCTCTTTTTCTTATTTACATGTTCCTGAGATATCATTCCAGACACAGGATAAACTTCCACATATATGTGGATGACCTGTAGCTCAGTGGTTAGAGCACTCGCTTTGCAAGCGAGAGACCTGAGTTCAATTCCAGGCAGAGGGCGAAACCTTGGGCAAGTTTCCTTACTCCACACAGAGCCTAATAATAATCCCTCCAAAAAACAAAAACAATAATAAATTGGTCATTTTCAATCTATGACTGTTTGTGGGACATTGCTGTGCGCAATTGGCTGCCGCGTTCGCCCACAAATATACAGTCAACTCACTTTACAGCATATTCTGTGAAGCGCTTTGGGACGTCCTCCCGACGTGAAAAGCGCTATATCAAATGCAAGGATTATTATTATTATTATTATGACACCCAAAACTACTTCTCCTCCTCCAGCTACAACTCCAGGTCGCTGATATTCTGACAGCTTGTTTGTCAGACGTAGATGAGCCCAAATTTCCTGCATCTGAATGTTAATAAGAGGAAAGCCTGAGCTCCTTGGCTCTTGTCAAGCTATTCTCGCCTGCTTCTCCAACCTCCTCAACCGGCCTATCGCTAAAATTTTTCGAACCTGTGCATAACCTGGGTGCCAGATTCAATCCTCAGGTGGTCTTTCTACCCCACATCTGGTCCCTGACCAGGACCGCTTTTCTCCACCACCAGGACATTGCCTTCTCCGACCGTACCTCACACCCAACGCAGTGGATTCCCTCATCCGTGCTTTCATTACCTCCCGTCCCGATTATTCCAATGCCCTCTTCGCCTATCTCCCCAGCTCCACAATCCACAAAATCCAACTAATTCAAAACTCCAACTCCTGTATACTTACCTGTTCTGATAAACTCTGTACTCTCATCACACCAGTCCTCGCCAAGCTCCATTGGCTCCCTATTACAAAATGGATCGATGTCAAGATCCAGATCCTCACACTCATCTACAAATCCCTTCATGCCCTGGCACCTCCCTACCACTCCAGCCTGCTTGTACCCCACTTGGGTTCTCCACCACCCACCATTTCTGCCTAGCTGACTCCGGCCTCCTACTTGTCCCTCATTTCCTCTGATCCATCATCGGCAGCCGTGCTTGCAGGCACTACACCTTGAAACTTTGAAACTCTCTCCCTCAATCCCTCCACCTTGCCTCCTCCTTCCCCATTGTCAGATCATGCCTGAAGAACTTCCTCTTCATCTGTGCTTACAGTCACCTCCCAGACCCCATGTGAATGCCGCTATATTAATGTGAGAGGTTGTTGAATGGCCCAGTTATAACATGCTCCTTTATAACAAATTTGGTTGTAGTTGCAAATGAGGACCCCATTCACTGCATATGAGCACAGCTGGTCCACGCGTTTCCTGTATGCCAGCCTGTATTCACTCTAAAATAGCTAACTTGCGACTAAATAGGTTGTCACTGACATCACTTGCTGCTTTGCACAACAAACAGGAAATGACAATTATGTCAACCTGATAACCTGGAACTTGGCAGACGCACAGAGAGCTCGCTAGCTAGAAGGAAATTCAAAATGTACATTTTATAGCCCTTTTCTTTATAAAAAAATTTTTCAAAATTCCTGCGGCCCAAAGCAGTCTGACAGTTGATACAGAGAGGGTTTCATGGTAGTTGGGAGTCCTGTAGCTCAGTGGTTAGAGCACTCGCTTTGCAAGCGAGAGACCTGAGTTCAATTCCAGGCAGAGGGCGAAACCTTGGGCAAGTTTCCTTACTCCACACACCTAATAATAATCCCTCCAAAACAAAAAACAATAATAAATTGGTCATTTTCAATCTACGACTGTTTGTGGGACATTGCTGTGCGCAATTGGCTGCCGCGTTCACCCACAAATATACAGTCAATTCACTTTGCAGTGTGTTCTGTGAAGCACTTTGGGACGTCCTCCCGACGTGAAAAGCGCTATATCAAATGCAAGAATTATTATTATTATTATTATTAGTGAAGTATTCGCAGTAAAAAACATGGAATTGGAAAGAACTAGGGCCATATTAGAGGACAACAGGTAGGGAGCTCAGGTAGAGGCAGCTGAGACTGTCATATGAAGATCAACTCAATTCTGATAGTTTATTGCCAGACACATTTCCTTGGAGTAAACTCTGCCCTAAAGAGGCTCAGCTCACCAACTGGCAACCTGGATTAGTTGATACTCTTATCTCTGTCAAAGGATACTCTGAGCTCATGGTCTAGGCTGACACTTCAGTGTCCTTTAGATGAGACATTACATTTAGATCCCATCCATCTATTCTGACTGTCGTTAGTGATTCCATGGCAATATTTGAAAAGAGAAGAGTTTCATCTGGCCAACAGTCCTCCAGTGAAATTTGTAATTGATCTTATGATAATGCATGAAACCCACATTGGTGAGTTTCCCCTAAATCTTATGGCATTCTGACTTCATTTTTTTCTCCAAGCATCCTGCCTAACAATTTCCCCTAAATATAACTAACTGGCCATTCACTTCATGGCTGTTAGTCAAGACTCTGTTAAGTGCAAATTGCAGTGTTCACCTACAAATACAGTCACAACTCTTCACAGTAAAATCCCATGAAGGGCTTTGAAATATCTTGATGACCAGATAAAGTGAAATATTAAATACAAGGATTACTATTATTAATATATACTTTAAAATTCATTTAATAGCTGTTTGTAGGAACTTGTTGTTTCTACAAACAGCTGTGAAATTAATTTTAAAATTTATAATAATGATGTGTATGAATTGGCTGCTGCTTTTGTCCACAAATATACCATCATTATTCAAATATATTCAACACTTTAAAATCCTGTGAAGTGATTTGTGCCATTTTAACTTTGTGATAACATCTAATACAACAATTATTATAATTATAATCCACAGGTGGATTGACATTAGTTGGTTATTAGACATCTGGCAAACTGGATTTTATTCAGGGTGTGCATTCCAGTTTATGAGGCCTTGTCCATAAGATCTTGTCCAAAGTCATAATTGACAAACATCACATTAGTGGGTTTCCTGTGAACCTTATGACATTCTGACTTCATACAGTAGAACCCTGTTATAAGGCAAAGCCTATTATAATAGGATTCAGATGTATAAAGCCACAACCTGCTCCTCACACAACTGCAAGAACAGAACCCAGATTATTCCTTCCTGTTTGCTCTGTGAACTTCTAATGCATCCCATTTACATGCGGTAGCAACCCAAAGCACCACCATGAGACTGAAATTAGTGAGGTTTCTCAGTAGATCTCAGTCTCATTAGAATCACTTTCTTATTGATAAATACCACAATTGCACTATGAAACACTGATAACATAACATGTAGGAGCAGGAGTAGGCCATTTGGCCCTTCGAGCCTGCCCCACCGTTCAATCATGGCTGATCTTCTAATCTAACTCCAGCTAATAACCTGACCCTGCCTTATCCCCATATCCCTTAATCCCTTTTGCAATAAGAAATCTATCTATCTCAGTCTTGAGATAGAATATAGAATAGAATATGTTCAAGGACTAAGCGTCAACAGCCCTTTGGGGTAGTGAGTTCCATACATTCACGACCCTTTGAGTGAAGAAGTTCTTCCTCAACTCAGTGTGAAAGGGTTGGCCTCTGATTTTAAGGTTGTAACCCCTGGTTTTAGTTTCTCCAACCAGGGAAAACAATCTCCCACTATCTACTCTATCATACCCTTTGATGATCTTATAGGTTTCTATAAGATCTCCTCTAATTCTTCTATATTCTAGAGAATATAGGCCCAAATTGGTCAGCCTATCCTCGTAACTCATCCCCTTCATCCCTGGTACTAACCTAATAAATCTACGCTGCACCCCCTCCAAGGCAAGTACATGCTTCCTTTAATAAGGAGCCCAAAACTGCACACAGTATTCCAGGTGTGGTCTCACCAGGGCCGTATACAGTTGCAGCAAGACTTCCCTATTCTTATACTCTAATCCTTTCATAATGAATGCTAACATACCGTTCGCCTTCCTAATTGTTTGCTGCACCTACAGACTAACTTTCTGTGATTGGTGTACAAGGACACCCAAGTCCCTCTGGACGCTAACACATTCTAATCTCTCCCCTTCTAAAAAATAACCCGCTCTACTGTTTTTGCTACCCAGGTGGATGACTTCGCACTTCCCTACATTATACTTCATCTGCCACCTACCTGCCCAATCACCTAACCTATCTATGTCTCGCTATGGTATGTGCACCTCAATGGGATCTTTAGCAGACAGCAGACAAGACCTCAGTTTCATGTCTCTTGAGAAGGTCTGAATGAGAACTACATGAAACTAGGTATGCATTTTTTAACCAGTTCTTA